ACATGGTGTCTCCAACATGAGCTTTATCGTAATTTTTAAAATTGACTAGTCTGAAATAACAGACCTGCAACAGTAACTTCAACATAAGACACTATGGAACGATATAACATTTTAATGTTTGTATATATTGCAAAATGGTCACAGGTCTAGTTAACATCCACCATGAAAACTTAGTTTTTTTTGTGATAAGAGAAATTTTAGGATTTACTCTTACCAATGTTCAAATATGCAATACTGTATTATTAACGACACTACAGTCCCTTGACTTGAATTATTTTATAATTCCTTTGACCCACTTTGCACCCATTTTGCAACAACTTCACCCATTTTGCACAACCCCCTATACCTCCACCTCTGGGAACTGCCAGTATTGATGTCTTTTTTTTTTAAGTTAGTGCAGGATCCTGGGGTTCACTCTGGGAAAGGTTTCACCAGAGCTCCCCTTTCAGTGGCACAAAACGTGTTCCCCAGGCGAGTTTCTCCACAAGACAGAGACTCAATTATATTTAAAGAGCAGATTTATTAGGGAAAAGGACAGGAATATTGTACGCTTGCATAGGCACAAGTGAGCAGGAAGAGCTGCCCTGAAAGGGACAGGTTTGCTGAGAGAGAGAGAGGCCAGTATGGTTGCAGGCAGGCTGCCTTAGGAGAGCGGCCTCTGCTGAGGGAGGTCAGTGCAGAGAAGCCTGGCAGGTATAGGTCATGGGCAGGCAGGAGGCTGCCGCCTTGCAGAGGGAGAGAGTCTCATGTGGGCAGAGGACTGCTGCCCCGTGCTGGTGCAGAGACTGCCCTGATAGAGACATCTTCTCTTTGCGAGGGGCTCACTCCTTGTGAGTCTGGGTTTGTTGGTTTTGAATACACTCTGAAAGGGATAGCAGCTCCCACAGGGGGCTCCATTTCCATATCCTTGTCTTTCCCCTTTTTGGTCTGCACTGCAGACACAGCCCTCAGCAGTCTGCTCCCTGCTTGGAGCTTCCCTCTGCAATCCAGGCATTGGCGCCTGAGGATCTCCACTGCTAAGGCTGTGGCAGTGGCTGTGCTAATCCGTCTACCCCAACTCCCTGTGTGAGTCAGTCCTGTGATGCCTCCTGTCTACTCTTTCCTCCATCAGTCTGGTCTCTGTATCTGTGATTTTAATTTATTTTTGAGCTCCACATGTAAGTGAAGTCATGTAGTTACTTTGCTTCCTTTTCAGTTTTTCTTTGCTGTTCTCTCACCGCAGCTTGATTGTGATGAACCATGCTGGTGCAGCTTTTTGGCATAGCTTGTTTGGGCCTTGCTCATTTTCTGGAATCAGCAGGTATGGCTTTCACCAAACCTGGCACGTTCCAGATTACGTCTTCAGGTATTGTTTCAGCACCAGGTCATTGTACTCATTTTCTCCTTTTGGGATTCTGACAAGATGATGATGTTAGGTCTTCTGTTTTTGCCACCAAGTCCCTGATATTCTTCTTTTTAAAAAATGACATTTCCCCCTACCCCATTGTTTAGACCCAGTATTTCTGCTCAGTCTGTCTTAAAGTTCTTTGACTTGCTACTCTGTCGTCTCCATTCTGCTGCTGAGTCCCTGCAGTGAGCCTCCCTGGCCTGACCGTTCTTCAGGTCATATGTTTCCATTTGTTCTTTACATGTTTGTTTCTTTGATGGCACTTAATATTTTAACTATGTTTCCAGAGTGTTTGTGATTGCTCATCTGAGCATGTTTATAGCAGCTGCTTTGAAGTTGATGTCAGAAGACTCCAACATCTGTGTCATCTGGCCAGTGGCATCTGTTGCTTGTCTTTTCCTTTATAATTTAGGAGCATCGTGGTTCTTTGTGTGCCAGATAACTTTGTATTGTTCCCTGGATATTTTGAACATTATGCTGTGAGACTTGGACATCTTTAATTCTTACCAAGAGAATGTTGGCACTTTGGCTTATTAGGTACTCAGCCTGTTTAGGTTCTCTCCACCTCCTGCTGGCTGTGGTTCTAATGTCAGTTTAGTTTTCAAAGCCTTTTTCTTGCTAGTCAGATCTGGCCGCGTGTGCCACCCACTGGTTAGTCTGGAGCCTAGGTGGAATCTTTATGTGAGCTGCGTTCAAAGTCATTGGCATGCTAATTAAGATCAGATCTCTGAATGTGCTTGTTGGAGAAGATCCCAGTGTTTCAGGAATAGCTCTATGGGGTTGCTCTCCTGAGCTTTGGCTCTGCTAATGCCTTGCTGCTTTCTAGCTACTCTGGGTTGAGGGAGAGGAAAATGGTGAAAAATAAGAGAAAGGAGAAAGGACCTGGGGAATTCCTCCCACTCTCTTGGGCTTTAGTTCTTTTTTCTCTTTGAGCCAGAGCCACAGGGTCTTTTCAGGATGTCTGTGTGTGCTGCAGTGCTAGACTCAGCTCCTGCTGGGGGAGCTTGACAGGAGCTATGGGAGGAGAAAACAAACTCATCACCTGTTGAGCACGGCTTTGGATTCTTCTTCTTCCTGATCTGCCTGCTGATACTTATTTTTCACAGCCTTTAAATAGTTACAGCATCAGTTGGTCTTCCCTGGTGGCACAGCGGCTTAAAGCACTGCAGTAAGAAGCTTAAGCCACTTTCACATGAGTTCGATCCCCGCCTACCCTGGAGGAGCTCCACAGGGTGCGGCAGACCTCTCCTGACCTGCCCGCTGCTCCCCTCAGCAGTGTACTTCGTAGATCTGCCTGTTCTGCTCTCCACTCTGTCCCTGGTGAATCTTCTCTCTCACCCTCCGCATCTCTGGCTTATATTCCAGTTCTGTATGAATAAATAAATAAATCTTTAAAAAAAATAGCTACAGCATCAGTCTACACAGGCATATAGTTGTATTTAATGAAAGGATAAAGCTGGTGTGCATTTACTCCATCTCACCAGGACCCAGGGCTTCCTGAGGGTAGGGTTTATATTGTGAGTGAAGTCTCAAAAGGGAGCTACAGACTCACTTGCTTCCCCACACTCTCCCTGGACAGATGATGCGGATGTGAAAGTGTCTATCTAGCAATATTCTCTCTTTCAAGTAGTTCAATTTCTATTAGTTGAGTGTACATATTGATGGATGAAAAGAATAGACTCATGCAAGGAGGGGGGGCAGAAGGAACCAACATGACCATTAACCCAGTCATAGAGACTCCTATATCAGACTGCTGGATCAGACTGCTTAGGGAATATCAGATGCACAGACATTAGGTTAAAGATACAGAGATTGGCCATTGTGAGATTCCACACATTAATCCAAAATCAGTAGCAAACAGGCCACTCCACGAAGGAGTGGAGAAAAGGACTATCTAAGGGCAGTCTCTGCACCAGCACGGGGCAGCAGTCCTCTGCCCACCTGTGCCTACGCAGGTGCTTCTTTCCACCTGCTCTCTCCCTCTGCAGGGCAGCAGCCTCCAGCCTGCCCATGACAATACCTGCCAGGCTTCTCTCAGCGGAGGCCTGTGAGCTGCTAAGACCACCTGCCTGCAACCATGCAGGCCTCTCTCAGCAAACCTGTCCCTTCAGGGCAGCTCTTCCTGCCCACTTGTGCCTATGCAAGTGTCCTTCTCTATCTGCCCCTGTTCTTTAAATATAACTGAGTCTTTGTCTTGTGAAGAATTTCGCGCATGCTGCAAGGAGAGCTCTGGTGACACCTTTCCCAGAGGGAACCCAAGAACCCCGAACTCCAAGAAATGACATCAAGTGTAATACACCGCCACTTTGTTTTTTAAACCAGGTAGTTTAAGCAATAATAACACAAAATTAACAGCCTATTTATAAGAAACATGTGTACTGTAGGCCTATCACTGTGATAACCCTTTCGTTTGCTACCTCAGTTTGCTGTGATATGTGCTTGTGCATGGTTTGATTCAACTTTGTAATAATTGTCTGGGGGATTTGAATATAATATCATTTTATCAGTTTAGATGGTTAAATTTCTAAACTGTTTGTGCTTTATTACTTCCAGAAAGGACTTTCTTAAATTAATTAAGTACATTAGATAGTGTCTGTTGCCATTAATTGAAATGAGATCCCTGCCCCCTTGGTTTTTAAACTGCCGTGTGGTAGAGTAGGGCACTCACCCTTTTATAATCTTAGGCACAGAGACGGCCTCTGCTCCTGCCTTACCTCAGGCCGGCCCCACCTGCACGAGCTACTGCCTGTCATCTCACTAGGATAAGCCACGGAGGTATCGCCACCTTTCCTGTTCACCTGGCGGTGCGGCCACTTGAGAGCTGCTCGGTAGATATTTGCCAGGTGAACCTGTAATGATGTATATACAGTTCGTGCCATCTCAGCTTGAGGGAAGAGTCCTTGGTTAAAGCATTTGCCCCGGATTTCCAGTGACGGAACTGGAGCTGGTGCCCGCCCGGGCCGGCCGCTCTGACGGTGGGTTATGTGAGCCTGATTGTAACCAGATGTGCAGGGCAGTGCTCTGTGGACTGTTATTTCCTTAGGGCATGTTGAATACTTTTTCTTAGAGTGTCAGAAAGTGACTATTTCAGACTTTGCCTGTTGGATGCCCTTTGCTGTGGCTGCGGAACTCTGCCATGGCAGCATGCGTGAGTAGGCGTAGCTGTGTTTCAACAAAATGTTACTTGCAAAACGAATGACAGGTCAGATCTGGCCCAGGGTAATCTAGTTTCTCTAGGTTACCAGTCCCGACTTTATGTGATCTTTAGTGTTCTTATTGCAGCCTTTCACTGTAATTGTTTGCTAAGATAGGCTTATCTGTGTAAACAATAGGGATATGGGAAGCTGCCTTAATTAATCCAGAACTCTGCAGCTATAACGAGACATAGCTCTATGTTTTCAGCACGGGAAGCACTACATCAGTTCACTGAAGTACAGGCTTTTTAGTATTTTAGAAACTTTCAAAGATACAGTGGCTTGTCCTCCTCTTGTCAGGCTTTTACTTTATTTTTACTCTTTATAGCTTGGTTTCTTGTACACAACACATAGAATGGTAAGTACTTTGTGGAATTGTTAAAGTTACAGTGGTTTATTCTATTTTTCTTCATCTCCAGGATGATTGAGGAAAGCACAAATAAGCGGAAGACCATGGCGGAGAAGAGGCAGCTGTTCATAGAAATGCGTGAGTCTGGGCGCTTCTGAACTCTGCTTGTATGTGTGGGGATGCTTTCCTGATGACGTCGCAACTTTAATCAGGCAGCAGTTTTATGATATAAGCTTTAGAAAGGGAAGGATGGAAGTTAAAGAGTCAGGACGTTGCAAGAACGCAAACCAGAGCTTGTGTTATTATTGACTTGCTCGAGCAATTCCTAAGAGCAAGGAAATAGTAGCAAGCAGGCTAACTAGGATATTTGAGTTGCAGGCACACCCATCAGTGTAGGCCTGTTCCATTGCTACCATGGCAGGTGTTGATAATTAACCCATTATGCAAATTACCTTACAGGTAACGTCTGTCCTTATAGGACAGAGCTATAGGAAAAATTAAAACGTGAATGTGACGGGGATTACAACTGAGATGGGAAAAGGACAACAGAATGATGTAAAAATAAACTGTTATATTGTTTAAAAAACATGTGAATGTGGTGGTGCAGGGGGTTAAGATGTGTGAAGCTGTCACCAGCCACTGTAGCAGGAATTCGATCCCCAGCTGACCCACATGACACAGCAGCCCTCTCCTGCCTCACCCACTGCTCCCCTCAGCAGTGTATTTCAGTGGATCTGCCTGTTCTGTTCCCCACTCTGTCTCTGGTGAATCCTCTCACCCTCCCCCACCTCTGGTCTGTACCCCAGTTCTTGTATGCATAAATAAATAAATTAAAAAAAAAGTGAATATGGTATATTACTTTATTCATAATTACGTATAATTACAAAAATTATATAAAATTCAAAGAGAAGAAGATGGCAGAGACGAGTGGGTGGTTCCCAGAATTTGAAGGATCCTTTTGACATGTGACTTCTTGCCTGTATGACCTGACCTAATACATGCACCTTTGCTAGACCTCAAATTTTTTTGCCATCAGGTAGGGCTGTGTCTGGATCAATGATCGTGAAACCTTTTAATAGCATTTTACTCTGTTTTTCATGTGAGCTATTTCAAGGAAGAGCAACCTGTGAATATTATACAGTTGGTTCTGCATGGTTTGGGGGGGCAAGGAGAGGCACGAGCCCCACCTGACACAGCCTCTGAAATCTGCATCTTACAGGTAAAAATCAGTGGGGTAAGCCACGGAGGACCCTTCCAACTCTTGAGATGTCCTGATCTTTAGGGTCTTAGTAATGGGAGTAGAGTTTGGCCCAGTTAAGATCTGTTACCCGCCAAGCATCGGTTAGATAACGAGACAGTGGAGAGGAGCCCGTGGCTTGGGGCAGGCAGCCAGACTGGGTGGTATTTAAGGACTCTTGTAGTTTTGAGACCCTGATCGCTAGGCATTTCAAGCTGTATACTTCGGAGTCATTTACCTTCACCTCACCTTTTGCCTCCAAAGAAATCACAAGGTGCAGCTGAGTTGCTCTCGTAAGTGAGGTTTGCCTTCCCCACTCAGCATCACAGCTTTGAATCCAGCTCTGAGTTGCCTGCCTGGGGGTGCCTTGGCTCCCTGCTTCCTGGCAGCATCACCTTTGGTACGGTGCCTGGTGTGTCCGTGCCTGCCTTCCCGCTCAAAATAGCACCAGTGCCGCCTTCGTAGGATTCTGTGCAGAGTAAGTAAGGAGTGAGATCGCTGTAGAGCAGTGACAGGCACAGAGCCTCAGGCTCTTCATGTGGTAGCTGAGCACACTGATGCTTTTTTTTTTTTTTAATATAATAGTTTATTTTTACATCATCTTGTACATTTTTTTTTTCATCTCAATTGTAATCCCCGCAGGTTTCCCGTCACCGAGTCACCCATGTGCCATCACCATAGTCCCGTGCACTTCCCTCACACCCCACCCCCTGTTTTTGATCCCATTCCCCACTCTACCCCCACAAAATGTCTCTGGTATATGACTGTTCATTATTCCTATTATTTTCTCGCTTGGCCCATTATACTCCAGCTATGAGCAAAACCATCCAGTATCTTTCTTTCTCTTTCTGGCTTATCTCACTAAGCATGATCTTTTCCAGCTCATTCCAAGTTGCTGCAAAAGACATGTGTTTCTCTTTTTTGGTTGCTGAGTAATATTCCATTGTGTATATGTACCACATCTTTTTAATCCAGTCATCTACTTTTGGGCATTTGGGCTGTTTCCATGTCTTTCCGATTGTGAATGAAGCAACAATAAACATGGGGGTGCAGGTATCTTTTTGAATCAGTGTTTTTTGTCCTTTGGGTAGATACCTAGGAGTGGGATTGCTGGGTCGTAGGGAAGCTCCATGTTGAGCAGTTTGAGGAACCCCCAAACAGTTTTCCATAGTGGTCGTACTAGGTTGCATTCCCACCAGCCACACTGCTGTTTTTCCTGCTGTTCCTTTCCTACAAGGCGCCATGTTTGCCTTCTTCTGGTCTTGACCTTCCCAAGCCTAGGCGTTGGGTCAGCGTGAACTGTGTAAGTCTTCCTTAATCCTCCAGTTGTTCCTCATCCAGTTGTTCCTCATCGCTCCTGGGAGACACCACATGCCAGGCAAGATCCTTCTGTCCTCTGTCCCCCGTTTACAGTTTACAGATTCCTGGTTTTTACTTCGCCTTGCATGGCGCTTCCCAGCGGCAGCGAACGGGGCCCAGCTCCAGCCCCAGCCCTCGGTGGAGAGATCTCGCTTTTGGTTTCTCTGCCTTCACTGTGCCTTTGTCACCATCTTCCCTGGCTGGTGTACCTCCCTTCCCACTGAGGCTCAGTTAGGGGTCATAGCCATTTATTTGAAACACAATTAATAGGAATCTCCTATGTTCCAGGGACTTTTCCAGGGCTGGAGTTGCAGGGTAAAACAAAACCAGCTCCTGATTTTCTCTTGCGACTTGCATTTTAGAAAGGGGAACAGAAAAAATGGGGAAGCAAGTAAACAGTCCAGTGACTGGGGCACCCTAAGTTAAGTCAGCCTGAGCTTGTGGGAGTGTGACTAGAGTAGATATGGAAGTTGCTGCAAAGAATTGGCTCTACGGCTTACTGAACATTATCACTGACAGGTGAACCTCACATAAGCCACCATTCTCTGGCACAAACCTGAGACAGTTTGGGAGAGAGGTGGTGCTTGAGTCTCCCTTAGTTTGTCACAGGAAGAATCACATCAGTGGTGATGGTGTCTGCTGCTGGAAGTCCTGCCCTCATTTCCAGCATCACCCCAAGTCTCCAACATAACTGCCTCTTAGAGGAGCAGCACTCACCCATCATCAGCCTTGTCACAGTTCCAAGGCTTTTGGTTGTTTCTTAGCTTATAGAAATGACTTAGGGGTGTTTGCTGTTCCTGTATCTTTGAAATGATGTTATGGTCAGATTTCCTTAAAATTTGGGAGTCAGCTGCCATCACAGGTGTCTCTCCTTTTCTGCACTGGGATTAAGGGGTGAATTTTCACAAGGAGCACTGGCACGGAAACTACGTGGCTGTGGAGCAGGGCTGACTCTCCAGTGTAGAGATCTCTGGCAACCGGCCGTAATGATCAGTCTTCCATTTCCCAGTTAGCCAGCCTTGCACCCGTGTGATGTCTGCTCTGACTGGAGAGAGTGAGTTACATCAAGTCTAGAGCCTTTCCCATTAGTAAATATGCACCCAGCAAACATGGCCTGGTAATGCCCTGCATCTGATTAATTAGTAATCTTTCTGCTCAGCTGCTTTGGGATGGAGCTTTCCTTTCCTACCTGTTCACATTAATTTCCTCAGTATTGCTCAAACAAGTATTTTATAAAAATAAATGCTTAAACATTAAATTACTTACAGTAACTCACAGGCTAATCATTCAATGCCCCAGAGTATCTGTTAGCATCTTTACTAGAATTATTGACTTGGCTTTGAATAATTAAAGTATGTAATAGCCCTGTCTGAAATCTGACTCCAGGCTGGGGCGCAAGGGTCTTTCCTACTGAGCCACCAGCCCCTTCCTGGTACTGCCTAGTAGGAATCATTCATGCGCTCAGGTCAGGAGTGTTCTTCCCGTCAGCGTTTTCTCAGGCTTGCGCGGAATAATGTAGGTGTAGCTGCTGGCTAGAGCCTGGCGTGGGCCTCGGAGCGTGTGCCTGCCACTTCTTGCCCTCTTTTTTGTTTCATCAGGAGGCCTGGATGATACTCTGTATTTAGACTGTACCAGCCTGGTGAAATAGGCAATTCCTGGCATCTAGAAATTAAATCTTCTTGACTGTTTTCTGTTTGTGCCTTTTGCAGGTGCTCAGAATTTTGATGTCATACGACTGTCAACATACAGAACAGCTTGCAAATTACGATTTGTGCAAAAACGCTGCAACCGTAAGTCTAGAGTCATTGCATGTCTGGGTCTTTGATGACTTATGACACAGTGATAAATAGTATTTTAAAATGCTGGTTTTCATTGTTACTATCCCTTAGAAATATAGTGAGTTTTCTGACGTGATTAGCAATCATTCTAGGCTCAAATTGTAACTTTAGTCATTTATCTGTAGGGTCTTTATGATTTTCTGGTTGCATAATTTTGACATTTATGAATAAAGACAGTTGTATCTCATTTCAAGTACTTATACTGATAATAACTGCATTTTTACATTGGTTCAGCCCTCCAGTACTATAGAAATGATGACAGTTGGCATTTCATTTCTTAGTATCAGAAGAAAGGCTTTCAGCATTTTACTACTACATAATTCACTCCAGTTTTT